CAGGAGGATTACAAGGCTTTATGTGTGTTATACTGCTTTAGAGTACTTTATCTGGAGTTATTCATTTCAGATACCAAGTGCCTAACTTTTTGGTAAAAATCCACAGACGTTATAAAATCCAAAAATTTAAATAAATGGCTGACTGAAAAGCTTGAAACAAATGAGCAGAACACATAGAAAGAAGTGAATGAAGCTGAAAGAAAGAAAGAAAGAGACTTTGTAAAGCTCCATGAGGTTAGGATTTTTATCCGTTATGTACAGTTTTACCTCCAACATCTGTAACAATGCCTGGCACAGATTAGGCCCTCCATCTGTACTGCGTTGTAAAATGGACGAACGAACGAATCAGCGAATCAATGAACAACGGAAGAGTAAATGAGAAAATTGACAGGCGGCAAGGAGGACTGGGGCAGCAGGACACACTGCTGCCACATCAACCGCACCGGATTAAAATCCGGAGTCCGCGCAGACGCCGGCTCCTCTTCGGGTGGGTGGGGCTGGGGTGCGCGCTTCTCTCCGCCCCGCTGCCGGTCGGTGCCGCCGCCGCCGCCGCCGCCGCCGCGTGCAAGGGCTTCTGGGAGCCGAGCCTTGGGGTCTCGGGGAAGGGGCGCAGGTGGCCGCCATCTTGAGTTGCGAGCCTGGTCTCCACAGTCAACGCTAGGGGCGGAGTGGTGACCCCGCTGTTACCGCAGCGGACTGCGCAGCCGGGGACTGGGGAATCAGGGCGCCGGATAGTGCCACATTAATGGGTAAGTGGGAGTGACACAGGCCGGGTCGGCTGAGCTCGGGTTTGGTCCCTTTGGGAGCTACTAGTTCCTGAGGCCACTGTTGTCATTTACTGGAAAAGGTTGAGGACCAGGCCGTGCCGGGGTTTTCTCAGCTTCTCCTTCGGGAGACTGTGATGGCGGGGGCGTGGCAGCCGGACCTTCCCCTTGAGGATGCCAGGGCGCAGAGAGCTCAGATCCTCTTCGATAGCCAGGCCGGTCCTCAGAAGGAGCTTTAGGGAGCAAATCTCATCCTGTCGCGGCTCTGCTTCACTGTTTCTCGGTACACGTCTTGTCAGACGTTGCCATTCACTCCTGGGACTCAGCAATCTGTCTGGCAGCTTATTAGAAGTTACACCGTGTCCAGAATGAGGCAGGTTCAGTTCCAGGGGCCTGTATGTCTTACGCTCTACCTCCGCCAGCTGCCCTCTACCTGGATGCAGGTGCCGTCAAGCGTGGGTTAACTGCTTCTCTAATAGTCTGCCAGCTCGCTTCCAAGATGAAAATTTAATAGTATCTCCTCGACAATGCATAAGAAATGAAAGGAGTTGAAAGCTATGAGATGGGATAGTGATACTTCAAGAGAATACGACATTGACGTTTACTATTGGGCTTTTTCAGTACATTTTTGAAAAATCCCTTCTGATTTGATGTCTTAGTCACAACGCTCAGTGATTTACATTGTGTAGGAAAGTGACTTTATTGGCAGACAAGAAACAGCTCTGTCCTTTAGATCTTCAGGTCCTGTTTGTGTTTGCTGGTGGGGGCTCTAGTTGGTGCTCCCCTTTGTACTGATCTTGTAATTTTACTAACAGGTACCCATGCCATGGAAATGGTGGCTTTATGGACACAAGAAATTTCATTAATATATATCAGAAAAGGTTCAGATTCCAGTTATTTTCCCATCCTCAACACAGTTTTTCAAAGGGTTGGGTAAAAAATAAACTTATGACTGAGAAATAAAGTCCTCTGGCAACTTTACACTGTCTGAATAGCATTTCTTATATTTAAAATAACTTATATGAAACAGCAACCTTTGAAGTGCAGTCTTTTAAGTTATTTTCTGGGGAAAGAAACAATCCTCTTGGGTGAGGCACCTTTAAAGATCGTTTTCCTTGGACTTTATGTCCCCTTTAAGTCAACTGCAGTGAGGATGCAGATGTTAAATAAGAGGCAAGAAGTTGGTACTGTAGAAGAAAAAGGAACAAATGATACATGAGTTTTGGGGGCTAAACTTTATTTGGTTAACATTTATATTGAAAGGTTTTAATGTCATTGCCTAGATTGATGGTTTTAGAAGTATTGTCTGCTGTGTGTATTGGGAGGCACAAGGTGATTCAATCAGATGTGGGAAGACAGTGTTAGAACCTCTGTTTAACTTTTTTAAACTATTTTTTAAAGAATTTCTGTGAATTTATAATGGGATAGTTTATTAAGCTAGCAATACATGTACATAAATAACTAAACATTGAGGATGAATTCACAAATATATTTTACTTACATAAGAATATGTGATCACAAAAGTTTAAAGACCAGTGGCCTAGAAAATGCCTAATATATATAGGTGGTAAATATTTCAGAAGTTCGTTGCTGTGAACA